CATCAAATTTCTCTCATCCAAAGTGATCTCAGTCATAACAATGGGAATAAAATGTCCATCCTTCACGGAGTTTGGAGGACTGGAGGTAAAGTTAAATGACAGTCCTTTTTGAATAGACAAATGATGAGGACATGTTGGCCATTCTTGCAGGAACCTGTCCTTCTCAGCACTCTGTTCTTTTCCCTCGCCTTTCGCTCTTTCCTTCCTCCAGTCCCTATCTGTATTCTAGCCTCAGCCTAAGGCACATCCAGGATCCATGGTGCTTGGCTTTCTGCCCCAGAGGTGGTTTCAGCAGGGGTGAGGGTGGGGATGGGGGTGTGTGTTACCTTTCTGAAATTTTTATCTATTGCTTAAGGACTTCAAAGGTAGAATCAGATGGAGCTGGTGTCTGTTGGGACGGTGGACTGGAGGAGTATTTCCAATAGTGATTGTTTTTATTTTGTTTACTGCTTCATCTTCTGGGGTCAAGTTAACCAAACTTCTGTATATAAGGGCAGAGGTCTTGCCTGAATTTCTGAGGAACTCCTCCCCTAGAAATGGAGACTCTGTTGGAGATGATCTGATTACCTGCTTGGAGCTTGCTTTTGTGTTCCAGCCTGATAGGTAGAGACCATTTCCTCATATTTCCTCTTGTTATTTTTTCTAATTGCCCCTTCATTTACTTTTTTTTTCTTGCCTGCTTAGGCAATTTGAAGTTGTGGTCTGCGCGGCTCTGCATAGTAATGTGTTATAAAGGCATTTCAAGGAATACATGATTAAAATTGTTTACATGCATGGTTCAAATTTATTGGCAAATTGCTCAGGCCTCGGTTTTATGATGTAGCTGCCAGCTCTGTTCCTTCTGGGTAAAAGTCTGAAATAGGAGAAGTTTCCTTTTGGTCTCCCTCACCCACACTTCCTTTGCCTTGGTCCTCTCCTTTCAACACCTCCCTCCTTCCCTGCCCCCCACATAACTCCCGTGGAGCTGTCAAGCCTTTTACACCTTAATGTGAAGACACTTCATCAGTCCCTGCCCCCACCCAGACCGGCCCCCAGTGAAAGTGAGGTGTGCAAAGGAATAAATCTTCAATGGTATAATTTTAGACCCGATGGCAACTGGGAAGGGAGGCTATTTTGGGCTGCGGGGCTGTCTCCTTGACCTGAGATGATATTTGACTGCTGTGGGTAAGCTGGGCCAAACCTGCATGCAGTTCGCCGATGCTGGGGATCGCTTTTTCATATCTCCGTTGAGCAGTTCTCTGCTCCTCCAGGCTTCTGTGCATTTGTGCAAGATCAGGACTCTGTCAGTGGGCACCCGCCTCGGCTTGTCACAGGTGACATTTCGAGGTAGGGGTGCAGGCTACCCCCGAGAGGCAGCACAGAGGGAACCCTCCCCCTTCCACATAGAGGTTTGGGGAATTTTCTGGTCTAGTTTTCACCCCTTCCTCAACCTTCGTGCTTTATCAGCTGCTCAGTGGCCTGCCTCTCTGAGCAAGAAGAGCCAGGCTGGTCTCCAGGTTACAGCGTCTGAGCACCCTCCTGTGAGGCCGCCTTTGAAGCTGCACTGGGCGTCCCCACCGCCACCCTGACCTTCCCACTCAAGCTCCTGATGCAGCTGCTGCCTCCGGACCCCCCGTGCTGCCTGGGGAACCGAGTCAGGACTCCTGCAGCAAATGGGCAGGGCAGCTAGCTGCAAGGAGATCTGAAAGTGGCCAAAACAATGATGTTTTCCAGATGAGGGTGAGGTTCCAGCCAAGACCATCACCAGGTAGAGTATCTTGTTCCTAATTTTTACATCCTAAAAAGTACACACAAGACTCAAAGATCATTTGGGAAGGAGGAATAAAGTCAGTCAAGAACAGGAAAATGAGAGAGCCCTGGCTCTCTGGATGGTAGCTCCCTCTTCTCCAGGGATAAATTCTGGATTTGCAGAGAGAGAGAGATGGAAGATATAAGGAGAGCCTGACCAAGGAACAGAAAATAATGTAAGAGAGTAAGACAACAGGGGAGGAAAAGATCAAGAGACAATGTTCCCTTCTCTTATTTTCTGTTGCATTAAATTGAATAGATATTTGTTGGGAACCAACTATGTCTGTTTCAGTGATCTATTTCCTTATGACAGGCTCACCCTAAAATTTACTGACTTGAAGCCACAACAATCATTTGTGATTATCTGTCATGGTTCTGAGTGTTGGCTGAGCTCAGCTGGGTGGCTCTCAGGCAGGCTTTCCTGAGATCTGATGGTGGCAGAAGCCGGAGTGACCTCTGAGGCTTCCTCACCCTCACATACGGTGGTTGATGCTGGCCCTCCCTTGCTGCACCCTCAGCTGGGCTTTCAGCTAGAATGCCTGGTCGTTCCATGTGGCCTGATCGTCCTCACAGCATCTCACTCTTGTGCTCCTTTCCTGGCCACTCATGGCTCCAAAGATGAGCATCCCAAGAGAACAAAGCAAAGACTGAAGCGTCCTTTTTGTTCTAGCACAGGTACATATGCTATTGGTCCACCAGTCACTAGGGTCAGCTCAGATTCAAAGGGCGATCACACAGGACACTCCTCTGACTTTGAGGAGCATCTTAAAACCGCTACTATCCAACCATAGTATCAGCTGTTCCCAACCTCCTAGTCTTCAGGAGCCACCTGTCTAGTTGGAGATGTAAAAATCAATGAAGTAATTAGTGAAAAGTAATGAAAAATCTATTCTCCAGAAGAGCAAGGTAGTAGGGGATCATGGACCAGGTATAATAGAAGATGAGCGCATGTCTACAGAGAGACCATAGGCAGAGTGCAGTTAGAGGGGCTCATAGCAGGTTATCATTTGGGGAGCGTTGGAGGCAAATAAGACAGCAGTGGTCAACATTCCCCAACTCTGGAATCAGTGCTCTGGCAAGCTCTATTCAAGCCCAAATATGTGTCCTCCAGATCTCATTTTCTTGTTACCCGTCTTCTCTTCTCCCACCCCACCTTGGTTTCACCAGCCTTCTTTGATTTCAGCTATTTTATTCTTCTATGTGTTATGCCTTCTATGGTCCTAGGGTCCCCATCCCTTTATCTCCCCTGACATCACTTTATCCTTCCTCTCTGTGCTTGAAAAGGACTCACTTCCCACTCTCCTTTCTCCCCTATTGCAACTCCACTGTCTTGTTTCAGATCAAAGAAATATTCCTCCTCTTCCTTGCCCCATTCCTCATTTGATTGCTTGAAATACATATTTCCATTTTGGTTTCCTTTTATGGTCATGGTTTCTTGTCTTCTAAAACTCTATCTTATATTCCATGTAGCTCATGCCTTTCTTCTCTGCTCTGACTTGTCTTATCCTAGGAGCCATTTGCCCAGCACAGTGTCATGGCACAATGGCCCTGGTGCCCCCAACACCCTGCATCTCCATCAGTACAGCCTTGACATCCTCATGGTGAGGACTTGCTCCACCTCCAAGACTTTTTAAGTGGGGTCTGCTGTTCAGCTACTAACCTTTCTTTGGTATGAGTTTCCTACACCTTAACATCACTAAGGGTACTTTTTTTCTCTTTCTCTCCAAATATCACCGACTATAGACATTCACTTTCTAAGTCCTCATAGAAGTTGGGCCCCTTTTCTCCCCTCATACAAAAGTAATTTATAGTCACTGTAGAAAACTTCGAACACATAGGGAAACATAAATAAGAAAACAAATGTACATTTAAATACTGTTAATAGCTTGGTGTGGGTCCTTCCTATCTCTTTTTCCCCTCCATATTTATGGTTTTAATTTACAAAAAAACAGAATTACTACCTAGACGGGCAGTGCTTTCCTCCAAGCCATTTGCTGTTTTATAGAAGCAGCTGTTACAGGACTCCAGTCCCTGGCCCCAGCTAATTGGTCCAGGGTGAACATTAGGCCCCAGCTGGGTTACACTGAAATGCGGTTATTGAAGAAGGTGGTTTGCAAGAGACGAGTAGAAGACACACAGGATGAGAAGCAGAGGAACAGATGCCCGGAGTCTAGAGGCATCCCTTATCTCTGGCATTAATTCCACAGTGCCTTTTGTGGGATAGCCTTTAGTCTCACCTCAAAAGCTTCTTTAGTGGTGGAGCAGTATCTGAAGGATTCTGATATCTTTATCTAGCAATGCCTGAGCAAGATGACACTTTTTTTTTTGCAACCTATGTTTTTCACTTCATAATACTTCATAAGTTTTCTTGTATCACCCTATACCCTCCTAGATTTTAACTTCCATGACTGCACACTGGCTAAACAGTGGATGTTGAATATTTGTGGGAGAACAAGTACTGAGTTCAAATGCCTGTGCTGACCCTTATTTGCTATGTGATTTGGGCCAATTATTTAAACACTTTTGCCTGAGAGTCCTCATCTGTAAGATGGGTAGAACAACATGGTTAAGTGATACAATGATGCCAACATTCCCAGCACATGATCTACCACATAAGTCAGGGTTCAGTAGGTTTCACTTATTGTTGTTACTAATCATAAGTCCTCTGTTATTGCTCATATAACAGCCCCCATGTTTTTCAATATTACAAAGCTGCAATGTACATAACCTACAGCTAAATATTTATGCAAGATTATTCCTTGAGAGAGGTGCCTAGAAGTTGCATCATCAGATCAAAAAGGACATTCAAAACGTTAAAACAAAAAAAAGTATTGTCATTGTTTTCACTGAGTCTTCTAAGTTGTCCACATCCCTGCTTTTACCATTTTCTTCTTGTCCACGGTTTCAGAGACAACGTGTCTCTTTCTGGTCCGGGATTTGCTCTATGCTCACTTTCTAACAAAATTAAGACCGGGTCACATCCGACACTTGAGTTGGGGATCTTTCAGGGAGATTTAATTCATTCATTGAGTTATTCACTCACACGCCAGCTACAGACTAAGTCAGCATATAGACTGAGTTTATAGACTAGATTAACATTTCAGGGCTGACTCCAGTCTTACTAGCCATGGAGTAGGCTTTGGAGCTTTGTAGGAAGAGTTCCAGACCATTCTAAGGAAGTTAGATATTGACCAAGGCTTACGATATCTATAAAATCTCTCCTCTTTAGAAATCGAGACATTTGGAGTAGGAATGCCTAGCTTCTTTGACCTGCCTGGAAGGACCTCCCATCTGCAGATCCTAGTCTGGTTTTCAGAGTCAGGAAATATTAATACAAAATTCACTGAGATTCTTTTTTGAGCCATCTACCATGCTGGACATTGGAAAGACAAAGAAAACCCAACATGCTCCTTGTCCTTCTTGGAGAAGTATGTGGGCAAACAATTATTAGACAAACTTAAATTTGCCAGAATGGAGGGGGTGCACCTGTAAGGAAATCCCTGAGTAAAGTGATCCAAGAGCCGAGGTCTGTCCACAGGTGGCCATTTGGTCCCCAGAGGATTTTGTTTGGTGCAAAGTTATAGCACTAAAAAAAAAAAATCAAATTTAGTTGCCAACTGTTAACAACTGGAGATTTCAGGTAAAAATGCAGATTTCTATGTTACCTTGAAGAAATAAAAGTTTCTGCAGTACTGAGTGATTTCATCATGCAGCTTTCAGCAACACTGAGCCCTCATTTCATCATGGCAACAGTGATGAGTGGCTGACCCCTCGTAGCCAAGGCATGAGTTCTCCTTTTTGCAACAGTCCCCACCACTCCCTACTGATTACCTTGTCCTGCTCCAGTCTATGCTATCTGTATGAGCCAAGAATTTGTGACCATTGGCCTAGTAAAGGGAGCACTTATTTTTCACAGGAAATCAGGGAAGACACAGAGAGATCCGCTGCTGAGTAGACCTGCAGGGTCAGCAAGAATGCGCTGTGTAGCTAGGTGGAAGGTAAAGCATCCATGGCATGTGCAAAGGCATGGGGGCTGGAGCACAGAAAGCCTATCGGACAATGACAAGTGGACAAGGGTGGGAAGAAAGTTGGGGATTTGCGGGAAGGGACTGAGAGAAAGTATTGGAGAAGCAGGTATGCCCCAGCTTCCTATCACCCTGGCTCCCCAAAAATAAGGTTGTTAGATTTCATCCTATAAAAGCTAGATCTGATGATTGATAGAACAGCTAAAAGAATTTCTACCAATAGTACCCTCACTTCATGGTGGCACCTAGCAAAGCATGTTATGTGCAGACTTCATTCAATCCTGACACCAAGCCCGTGAGACACGTGCTTTTGTAATCCTCACCTGACAGAAGAGAAAATGTAAGTGGGAGGAGGTTGGCTAAGGGAATTCTGCAAGGTTATAGCCAGCACATGGCAAAGCAAGATGTGGACCCTACAGAGCCTGCAACCTGACTTGTTTCCTCCATGGCATCAGCACTTTAGAACCACTGTCCCAGCAGCAAAGTCACGGTTGTATTGGGAGTGGGTGGGGGGAGGCAGAGAGATCTGGGAGATCACGGCAGGGGCCAGCAAGAGTGCAGACGGCCTTCCCCAGGGCAACAGTGGTGCATGATGAGGAGGATACTGGAGACCCGGATGAGGATGAGTCAGCGGGATGCTCCTTCATGGAACCTGCTGGCCACAGGCGTTTTCTCTCCCTCCTTTGAAATCTCAGAGCACTCTGCGTCTCTTTCCCAGGGCCTGCTTTGGCCATGTCCCCATCACAGCTGTATGCATCTTATCACGTCTTGTATATTTTAAGTTCCTAAGGGGCAGGAGGAATTATGCTTTATTTGCCTTAATAACTTTTTTTTTTTGCATGGCTGAGCACAGTGCTTTCGCAAATGAATGAATTCCAAAATTATCTTTTTCAGATCCTTTCTCCTTATGCATGCATTTTAGAAGTTTGTAGCGAGTGAAACACTTTTTCTTTAAATATATGAAAATCATTTCTTTACACCGACTACTTTCATACGAGGAAGAGGAAGACTGGGAAGTTGTTTAAAAGCAGC